CCTAACCCTAACAACCCTAACCCTAACCCTAACCCGAAGCCTAACCCTAACCCCTAACCCTAACCCTAAATGGAACCCTAACCCTAACCCTAAACGGAACCCTAACCCTAACCCCAACCCCGAGCCAGTAACCCAAACCCGAAACCTAACCCCTGACCATAACCCAAAGCCGAACCCAAACCCTAACTACAACTGTAACTCGAACCTGAACCCGAACCCTAACCGAAACCCGAACCCTAACGCTAACCCTAACCCGAAGCCAAACCCGAACCCTAACTCTCACCAGAACCTTAACTTGAACCCAAACCCTAACCCTAACCCTGACCCTAACCCGAAACCTATCCTTAACGCCAACGCAAACCCGAAACTGAACCAGAACCAGAACCCTAAACCAAACCCAAACCCTAACACTAACACTAAACTGAACCACCCCACAACCCGAACTCTAAACCCTAACCCTAACCCTAACTCTGAACCCTAACTGAAACCCTGAACCCAAACCCTAACCTGAACCCGAACAAGACCCCTAACCCCCAACCAAACCACTACCAGAACACCAACTCCGAGCCCGGAACCCAAACCTGAACCCAACCCTGACCCCGACCCCAAACCTGAACCCTCACCCAAACCCCTAACCAGAACTCGAACCCAAACCCTCACCCAAACCCTAATGCTAACCCTAACCTGAAGCCTAACCTGAACCCAAACCCGACCTGAATCGGAAGCCTAAACCTAAACCCAAACATGAATCCAAACCTTCACCCTAACCCCAACCCTCACCCGAACCAGAAACTGAACTAGAACCCGAACCAGAACCAGAACTGGAACCTTAAACCGAAACCCGAACCAGAACCCCAACGCGAACCCTAACCCTAACCTTAACTCCGGACCCTAACGCGAACCCCGAACCTGAACAGGAACCCGAACATGAACACAAATCCCAAACCCGAACCGGAACCCAAACCTGAATGAGAACCCGAACATGAACCCTAATCCCTAACCCAAACCCTAACCTGAACCCCGACCCTCACCTAAACCCGAACCTTAACCCCAGCCCCAACCCTAACCCGAACCCGAACTCTAAACCTAACCCCAACACGAACACGAACCCTAACCCGAACCCTAACCCCTACCCAAACTCGAACCCTAACCCCTACACTAACCTGAACATTCTCTCACCGTCTCCTTCCCCCTCACCCAGATGCCAACCCTAACTTACCCTGACCTCAACCCCAACCCCAACCCTACCCCTTCTCCTGACCGTGACCCTAACCCTGTTCTAACCCCTATCTCTAACCCTAACTCAGAACTCCCAAACACTAAACCCTAACGCTAAACCCTATTCCTAACCCTCACCCTATCCCTCATGCCTATCCCTCCCCTCCCCTACCCCTCCCCTCACACTAACCCAAACCTAACTTACACCCCAATCTCCACCCCAAACCTAATTCTGACCCAGCCCTGTCACTCTTTGCTTACATCTAAACGCTAACCCCTCCGTGCCCTTACAAGGCATCCCAAACCCCAGCCTACGTCCACTCACTTCCAAGCCTTAACCCACCCACCACTGTACTCCTAACCCAAGTACAACCACATCTCCGGTGAGGCCTCATCCTGGTTCCTCCTGCAGCAGTTCTGCTCTGATCTCCACCCCAATTCTCAGCCTGATCTACACTCGCATCCTAAACAGGCCGAAACATGCTATAGAAGTTCTCATTTTCTTCTGAGCCCTCCTCACTGTGCGCTCCTGCCCACATGCCCATGGATTCGGCTCGTCCTCTGAGTGCTCGCCTGCCTCTGACTCCCACACCCTCGCATACATCACTCAGCAGCATCGTGGGGTTTGTTTTTGATTTTTTGCTAAGTTTTATTTTAATCCAAGGACTTTGCTTCATACAAAATGTCATTGTAGAAACAATAGCAGAATCCAAAGTTTGGCTGATAAATATTACTCAGGCAGCAAACTAGTCAATCACAGATTTTTTTTTAAAGTGAGTCCCAGCTGTGTTGCATGATAGGGACTTCTCTTTTTGTTTTTGTTTTTTTAACACTGTTCTTAAATATAAAGTTTTGCAACAAACTTTTGATTTATATCAAATATAATTAAAAATTAACAAATGAATACATTGTATCAAAAAGTACGAAGATATACATTTTCATGCACATACTTGTATATATGTATATATGTATATATTTTACATGCACACATAACTTGTTCAAAGTACAGCCACTGCTTGACTGGGTCCAGATGCAGACAACTGGTTGATGCATTGCAAATTTGGCAACTCACTACGAAATTTCAGGGGAAACATACAATAGCTGAGAAGAGACAGTACAGGAACAAAACCCAACAACAGGCAAAAAGACACAGTATCTCCTGCCCCACTCCCTGTAATTTTCACCAATTCCCGTGTCTAGAAGAACCCAGACAAGCCAGCAAGGCTGCTTGGATCTAGAAAAGCAGATTCTCCACCCCACATGGCCTGGGGAGTCAGCTGTGGTTCTGCACAGAATGGATACATTCAAATTAACATGGGCTGGGTGAGCAGAGAGGGAACATCAGCATCGAAATACACATTCTTCTGCTTTGCAACAGGAGCACAGCATCCACAAGCACAGGCCGAGATCCCAGTTCAGTCGTACCCTACTGGAGTAAAATACTCTGTTATCTTCAAGTTTCAGAGGGTTGTGCCTTCGAGTGAGGAAATTCTATAAAATGGTATGGTCACGATCATGCTGAAACCCCACAACAGGGGGCGGTCTTGTGTGTTTTCTTCCTATTAAATGTGTGTCTTGTTGCATAGCCCTATGGGTTAACGGCATCCGCTCACTGGGACATACCTCCACACACGGACACGCACACGCACACACACGTTTCTTGAAGGAGAATCCTGGGGTAAAAGCCAAGGGAACACTCAAATGATCCAGCAGAGAGGTCATCTGACATGTCAGAACACGGAGGACACACCAGAATTGACTCGTCCAAACGCTCCTCTGCTTCACCAAACAGAGGGTCTCCCAGTGTTACGCACAACATCCCAACCACAGTTTCTCCCTTTTGAGAGGGGCCACGAGGCTGGACTGCACTTTTGCTGCCTGCTTTTCCATAAACAGTGCTGGGCTTCAGACGCTACCACCTCAGCCGCAGTCGCCGAGTTTCTCCTTCATCAATTGCTTGCTCCGAGTTGCAGTCTCATTTCAGTTGGGGCGTCACATCTGCTCAGTCATGGGACCCCCTCCTGCCCGACAGCCCATATCCAACCCTCCTCACCCCACTAGCCTCTCCCTCTCTTGGCCTCACGTGAAAAGAAACTTTCACAAGAGATTATGCCCTGCTTGGCACCATCCCATCCCTGAGAATCAGATGTAGAACAGATTGAAAACGCCCCACACGAGCACACACTCTACCCCGCGCTGTGGCTTCCACGCATGGGAGGAACACAGGGAAACGGTCACCTCATTTCCAACTACAACCATCCTAGGGGATGTTGTCTGAGTGTCCTCCGTTGACACCAGCTCTCTACTTGGTTGCTGTTTGGAAGTTTCCACAAAACGCACCCACAGTTCACACAGGTCTCATGTCACCACCCCCAGGAGCCTGGCGCGAGAGGGCTCGAGGTCAGGCACTTGGTCGAGAGCAGCGGGAGCCAGGGGTCATCTGGGGACCCCCTGGACTGGACACAAGAGCATTTCCTCGTAAAAGTCACAAACACGCAGCAAGAAAAATTGAGATCTTCCTACAGGTTTGATTTTTTTTAAGTTATGTTAACATTTCCTTCCCCATTTTTCTGGTTTTCTATTATTTCTAGATCAAATATATAGAATTAACAAGCGCGCGAAGGGTGTTCCGATTAAAAACCAAAATCAACGGCAGGAACATTTTCCAGATGTGGTCCCTGTCGGGGTTGACGGTGTCTGGGAGAGGACCAAGACCATCTTGAGTGTATTTCTAGCATCCATTTGCCGCTTAAGGTACGAAGAGCGACACTGGACATGTGTGGATGCTGACGAGACCCGTATGGAGCTGCAGCCGGGCTGCCAGGGCTGCACCTCTGTTTACCACCGACCCCATCCTGCAGTCTCGCCGTGCGTTAGACATGTCCTGCTCCACTGTAGCACATGTTTGCATAAAGGATGCGCCGCACAAGATTCTGACCTCCTAAAAAAGGTTCCAAGCACGCACCCCGGATGCTGGGGTCCATCACACAGGATTCAGAATGCCGGACCCCACTCAGCACACATGGCTGCTTCCTGTGTAGGGTCTGTGGGATGAGACCCAGGAAGGCAGCATACGAGGGGATGGAGAGAGCCACGTCCCTCTACAAAAGGGCTTCAGTCATCCATCCAGTGTGAGAGATGAGCAGTGGGGCCTCCACGCAGCTGGCCCAGGAGGCACGTCTGAGTGCCCCGAGTGTCCCCGGGAGCCCAGCGTGGATGATAAAACTCATCGACTGGAACGCACCCGCTGAGCGGTGCGTGGCGGCAGTGGCGTACAGCTAGCACCAGTGGTCTTGGTCAGGGTGGTGGTAGCTGTGCCGCGCCCGGCCGCCCGAGCTGAGTCCCAGAGTGCAGTGGTAGCCGTTGGGCACGCGGCGGAGGGGGTGGGACTGGGAGGTCAGGGAGGACACGTAGGAAGTCCGGGAGGAACGGCCCGAGTTGGTTGCCACAGCTTCCTCAAAGGTGAGCGTGTCCTCAGGCTGGGTGCGGGCAGTGGCCTCACTGTCCAGACGCTGCCCCAGGTAAGGGTCAGAGCCGATCCGAGAACCGGGGGCCAGGGGCTGGCTGAGCGGGTCTCTCTGGAGCAGGGTATTGTGTTCGGAAAGGCCACGGCTGAGTCGGCCGGGAGAGAAGGCAGGGAGGCTAGTTTGAGCCCCAGCAAAGTGGACGGGCGAGGAGTTGGCGGTCTTGTAGGTGATGCTGGGACGGGGGGTCAGGGGGGTCTGGGGGAGCTGCCTCCGGCCCCCGCGGCCAGGGGTGCTAGCACCAGATGTTGACAGCAAGGGGCTCCCATTAACCGAGCCACTACCCTATGAGGAAACGGAATGGAGCAAATCAACTCTGAGGACAGGACCACACGACAGAGCAGGTGCAAGTGAGAGCCAGGAGGCAGCACGAGGGGCACAGAGTCAGGCAGGTGCGCTGGACCCAGGTGGGAGCCAGGAGACAGGATGAGGGGCACAGAGCCAGGCAGGTGGGCTGGCCCCAGGTAGCAAGCAGCATGAGGGGCACAGAGCCAGGCAAGTAACCAGGTGAGAGCCAGGAGAAGGGGTGAGGGGCACAGAGCCAGACAGGTGCGCTGGAACCAGGTGAGAGCCAGGAGAAGGGGTGAGGGGCACAGAGCCAGACAGGTGGGTGGAACCAGGTGAGAGCCAGGAGAAGGGGTGAGGGGCACAGAGCCAGACAGGTGGGCTAGAACCAGGTGAGAGCCAGGAGAAGGGGTGAGGGGCACAGAGCCAGGCAGGTGGGCCGGACCCAGGGCGGCCCAGAAGGCGGGGCAGGGGTGCAGGGTAGGAAGGCCATGGTGTGTAGGCCAGGATGGCAGGTGATGCGAAGCGAAGGCCCGGGGCCCAGAGGAGAGGAGACCAGAGGCCAGCCCACCCCAGTCGGCAGGAGGGGAAGTAAAGAAGCGCCTAGAGAAGACGAGGTGCACTAGGGCAGGGACGGCAGGAGTGCAGACACAAACAGGACACGAGGGGGATGGCAGGGCAGGGGCGTGTGCAGAGGAGCAGCCTGCCTGCCTGGCTTACCTGTCTTGGGGGTCCTGGCTCCTGCCCAGCCGTTGGCGATGTGGGGTGGCTGCCCAGGGCGGGCTTGGGCTGGGGGGGCTCACGGCCCCCAAAGCGGTCGCAGGAGTAGAAACGCTGCTTCTCAGAGGAGGAGGAGGAGGGCTGCCTCCGCTCCTGGGACCGGCCACGCTCCTGTCTGCGCTCTCTCCGGCAGCCTGCGGGCCCCTCTCCCGAGGGCGGCCCAGGACCCGCGGTGCTGCTGGGAGCTGGTCGGAAGAGGAGAGGTCAGCACAGGGAGCTGGCGAGGGACGGACCCCCACCCAGACCCGGTCTACACCGCCTGCAAGAGTTCCCGGGGAGGAGCTGAGGGTGCGGTGGTCCTGCCTGGTTCCCTTTCCAGGGCCGGTGGTGGGATCGTCAGGTATAGAAAGGAAGAGGGTCCCCCACGGGCTCTCAAACCCCCTGCTTGGGCCCACAGCCACTCAAGGGCCCCGGCACACACCGCCATCCGTGTCTGCGGACAGGCTGGGTCCCTTTTCCAGGGACTTCTGCTTCCGGTCCCTGCGGCGGTGGCAGCGGTGGTGGTGATGAGGGGCCTGGCTGGCCGGTGCACGGTCCAGCGCGGCGGTGCAGAGATGGGCCACGTGGGGGCGCTGTGGCGCCAGCGTGGAGATGGAGCGCTTCATGGGGCTGGCATCCGCGGCTGGCTGCAGGGACACGGGGCAGCGCAGCCTGAGAGTGGGGCCCCTGGGAGGTTGGGGCAGCGGGAAACAGCCCTGACACGGGCTGGGGTTCAGGTACAGCAGGACAAGTCCCGTCGGGAGGAACTGGCCTGGGATTCAGGCCCCACAGCTGGGGCGTCTCCCCAGACACGCTGGCTGAGCTCCTAAAGGGACACGGGTTCGGCAGGGTCCCCTGGAAGGCCGCACTGAGGGGCCGGGGCTTGGTGACCACTAGGCCCTTCTCTCTCCCTGGAGAGCTCTTCCCACTCGAGACACCCTCAAGAGTGCTCTTTGCACAAGGTGCCGTTTATGGGGTGTCTTCCCCTCCAGGCCAAGCGAGGCCTGGGCAGCCGGTCAGCCTCAGCGTCCCTAAAGGACAGGAAGGATGCCAGGGAGAGGGAGGCTGTTGGCCTGGCCAGACGAATCCCAAGTGGGGGGCCCAGAGGTGCCTCAGCGGCTACAGTGTGATCACTCTGCTGGCTCTCTGTCCATCCAGGACCATGAAGCTGCTCCCCCAAAACTGAAATCAGGACCTAGAGACATTGCTCCTCCCACAGCCACCACTCGGCGTCAAGAGCCCAGAAGGGAGAAGAGGCACCAACACGGGCTGTGCACTCACTGCAGGGAGGCGGCCATCATAGGGTGGTGGGCAGAGACAGATCAAGTAGGAAGTGAGGACAGAGCAGGAAGGAGGAAGCCATGAAGGAGGAAGTGAGGAAGGAAGAAATGAGGAAAGAAGGAGGAAGTGAAGAAGGAAGAAATGAGAAAGGAGGAAGGGAGGAAGAAAGAAGTGAAGAAGTGAGGAAGGAGGAAGGGAGAAAGGAGGAAGGGAGGAAGAAAGAAGTGAAGAAGTGAGGAAGGAGGAAGGGAAGAAGGAGGAAGGGAGGAAGGAGGAAGGGAGGGAGAAAGAAAGAAGTGAAGCAGTGAGAAAGGAGGAAGGGAGGAAGGAAGAAGGAGGAAGGGAGGAAGGAAGAAGGAGGAAGTGAGGAAGGAAAAAGTAACGAAGGAGCAAGTGAAGAAGTGAGGAAGGAGGAAGGGAGGAAGGAGGAAGTGAAGAAGGAGGAAGGGAGAAAGTGAGGAAGGAGGAAGGGAGGAATGCGCATTGTGGTGAAAGCAAAGAAGGAAAGAGGACAGAAGCCACCGCCAACAAGAGTGAGTGTGACAAGTCACGAGAATAAAGTCCAAATTAAATGCACAGCAGCAGAAACCACAGAGAGGAGGCAGCCACAGAGCTGGAGGAGACACACATGGAGGGCTCGGGCCACTCTAGGCCAAGGGGAGCTGGCACACAGCCCAGGAAGCCCTGAAGGTCTCAGGCAGCCCCCTCCAGTCCCTCATCTGCTGGCAAGTTAGCAGAGTCCCTGAAACAGCCTGTCCATGTCCTTATCAAAGGGGCTCAGCCCCCTTCCCAAGGCTTCCTGCTCAGTCTCCAGACCCATCCCAGAGGAGCAGGGGCTGGGAGGGGCCGCTGCCTCCAGTTTCCAGAGATAGAACCAGCGGGTCCTCCCCAGAGCCTCCATGAAGGTGAAAAGGGTGGATCAAGCTGCGGGAGCGGGTGGAGCTGGGGTGGGAGAGGCGTGTCCCAGAGAGAGGGGCAGGCTGGGTCAGAGACACGGGGCTAGGGGACAGAGGACCACATGCCCCCACAGGAGGCTGAGCACAGGTGGGCCATGGGGACTCTCTGTTAGCCTGCCACACCTCTTGACCAGCATCGTGCTCTGGGGCTGCCCAACGGGGCTGTGTCCAGGCTGCAGTACAATGGGGAGGTTCCACCCCAGCAAAGCCCTCTCCATACCAGCTCTCCTCAGCCCCACTCCCTGACCCTCCCAGATCACCCACCTGAGTCTCTGCCGCCAGGCGGGGCATGGAGGCTGCTCGGCCCTGGCTCTCCAGCCCAGGTTGAGGCTCTCCATCAGGGCCTCTCAGGGCCATGCTCTGCATCTGGACATCCACAGCCTGGGGGTACAGCAGCCCCCCAGTCACACTTGGACCCCAGCTCACTCTCACCTTCTCCCTCATCCCTGTCTCACCCCATCCCTGTTTCACCCTCATCCCTGTTTCACCCCCATCCCTGTCTCACGCCCCCAGTACAGTCCCCCAGCCCTGGGCACCCTCACTGGTTTTCCTGGCTGCACCACTGGGATCTCTGTTGAGTGGCCGTGCTCCAGGGGTGTCCTCGCCTCGTAGGGCCCCTCTTGGGTCCTCTGAGTGCCCCAGGAAACGGACTCCTTGATGCCACTCTCTTGGGTTTGTCTGTGGAGAAGAGAGGGTTGTCCTGTTGACTCGGAGCTCCATGGCCCCCAGAATGCCCACCTAGGACCTGGCTCCAACCTGCCAGGAACCCCTACTGGTGCCTGTTCTGGGCTAGAGGGACCTCAGACGGGGGAGGCCCCTCGAATGCAGGCACTCCCAAGTGGAGGCACAGCAAGCGACATGGACCCAATGCTGGAGCTCAGTGGATGGGCAGAGAGGGGACCCTGGCCACCCATCTGAGGGAAGCCTGGGCCCATGGCTTCCTGGTCTAGGGACATACAGCAAGCTCCTCAGCCCTAGATAGAGGCTCGTGAGTGCAGTGGGGGCAGGAATCATTCATGGCAAGGACGAGGCCATGTGTGTACAGCGTACATAGTGTACAGCGTGAGGATATCCTGCTGACACTGGCACACAGCGAGCCCTGAGCCCATGGCCCCGCCTGAGGGGTCCTCCTCTTCCTCACCTCCAAATTCACTGGCTCCTCCCCAAGCCCCTGACCCCCAGCCACGGGGGCTGTTCTGCCCTTCTGATCTAGGCTCCAGTGTCACCTTCTGGGGGAGCCCTTCCCTGGGCACATGCACCGCACCCGCCTGCCTTTCACTGTTGGTGTCTGTCTCTTTCATCATGTCTCCCAAGTGGCATTGAAACTGCCCAGCATTAGCCTGGATTACTGCTCCTTCTCAGGTTCAACGGAGCATCACACACACTCTCAGTCACCGGGCTGAGCTCAGAGGTGGAGCCAGCAGATGGCCTCAGCCGGCCACACTAATGACCAGACCGATCGTGGCTGGGATTTCTGAGAACATCCTTCCTCTCCCCAGAGCTGCAAGCATCTCCCAGCAGTGTGCTGTGTAGAGCTGCGGCAGCCTCGGGAAAGGCTGAGCCTGAGAGGAGGCACAGCCAGGAGGATGGAAGCTGGCTCCCAAGGCCTCGTCACCCGTGAGGTCACACCATACTGAAGCCAGGCGTGCACCTACACCGTCCATTAGATGGCTCAGTCAAGGCCCCCACTGCCTGGCCCAGGAGTGGTAACTGATTTGTGTAGAAATTATAATCAGCGAAATAAGTGATGTTCATTTTCCTAAACTGAAAGCCTGGCTCAGATCAATCCAAAAAGACACCTCACCACCCCATGCCCTCCAGCACACATGTGCATACATGCGCGTGTGCCCACACACACTCAGATCAACTGTTTAACTTTAAATGCAAAAACGGAATCTTAACCACCATGGAGAAAAGAGAGTACAAGAACAAGGGGGCTTCCAGGGGCTCTGGGAGGCCAGTCCCCAGGGTCTGTATGTACTTCTTGGGAGCACAGTCTTCATACGGGAACATGCATAGTTTGGGTCAGGTTCTCTCGGTGTTCTGGAAGGTCTCGTCTCTGGACATGTGCCCCTGCAGGGTCGCCCCACCCCATCAGCTCGGGCCTGGCCACGACTTGCTCTGGCAGGTGGGGCATGAAGAGAGGCCTGAACACCTGCACCCTGGATGCTTCTCGCACCCTCACCTTGTGGGGCAGTCCAGACACTGGATGGGAGACTGAGCCATCCTGGGCCCACCAGTCCAGAGGAGCTGGCCTAGGCCCAGGCCCAAAGAACTGCCAGGCTGGCCCCTAAACGTGAGAAGTAACACACCACTCAGTGACGGCAGTCTGTTCCTCAAGAAAAGCTGCCTGATTAACAGTCCATGACCCAAAATCAGGCTTCAAAAAGGAACCTTCAAAACGGGTGCAGGAGAGGAAGAACAGGGGCCTGGCCCCTGTTAGTCTCCCTCCAGGCAGCAGGTCGGGTCAGGCCCCACCCTCAGCCCTTGCGGGGTGAGGCACCGCACAAGGCCCTGCTCGGGGCTCAGCCAACGACTCGCTTTGGCAGTGGGATGTTAGCAGACATGGAACCCTGCCGGTCCGGAGGGCACTGAGAGGACCCTGCCCTCCAGTGTAGCCCAGCAACCTCTCAGAGACCCACAGTGCAAAAAAAGTGATTGTTATTTTTCATCACGTGGTTTGGGTGGTCATTACCAAGAATGACTGCAGCAAGAGTTACATGACATACGCGGACCTTACCAATTTGTCTACAAAAGAAAACTGATTCAGAAATCAATACCAAAATGGAAATCTGAGAGGAAAAATGTTTCAAAGGAGTTAGCAAGAATGGAACACAAACAGGCCGTTAACAGAACAGGGTAAGGATCTGAGATGGAAGATCTGCAGGCACGGAAGGCCAGTGAGGAGGCAGAGGAGAAATGGGCACGCAAGTGCAAGTGACAGCTGAGACCTGAACTGTCTAAGGCAGTTGACCTCAGCACTGTCAGAGGCACCTGTCTAACACTAAGGGAATAATTTTAGAGTTCACCACAGAGACCGCTCACAGCAGATGTGGACCAGCTTTTGGGTGGCACCCACAACAACATCTGAGTGGACGTGGGTGTGGGGTGGACGGCGGAGCCAATCCCCAAGAGCAGAGATGGGACCTGAGGGCTGCCGGTCTTGGAGCGCTGCCCACGGGGAGCCCTTCAGGTGTCCAGCAGGAGTGAGAGTGGGGAGGTGGGGACACTGGGAGTCCTGCTTTCTCCAGGCACCACCCGTCCTGCACGGGGTACTCACACGGCCCCACCGTTGCTGAGGGAGGCCGAGCTCTTCTGCCGAAGGAAACCTCGGGCTCCTCGGAGCACAGCTGGCTGTGTCTGCTCCAGCGTGGCCTTCAGAGGGTGGAACAGGGACACGGGGCCCATCTGCAGAAGGGATGTGGGGAGGACAAGGAGCTCTGAGGGCCAGGGAGGTGCCTCAGCGACCTGCCCTGACCCCACAGCACAGCACAGGCTCCTCGCATCTCCTCTGGGTGAGGCCGGTGGCCTGCCCTGCTCCCCATCCCATCCCTACGTATGAGGCAGGCAGGAGCCTGCTCCCAACCTGGCTGTAGGCAACTTCAGGAAAGGCATCTCACTTCTTGGAGCCTCAGTTTCCCTACCTACAAACTTCAGGGACTGGATCCAATTACAAATGGCAGAAAGATTTCGTCTCAGCCTCAACTGGACTGACTGGTAGAGGATGCTGGAGCCCCGGGCAGAGCAGAGTTCTGAGGAGATTTCAGGGCAGGGGCGTCTGCACAGACAAGGGAATGGTGTGGGCACCAGGTACTTCCCGTCCCCAGGGGTGAAGGTCCCTGTAAGCTCTGAGCATCAGGCAAGTTTCTAGGCAGAGTCTACACACGGCCAGCGAAGGTTCGCTGTGTGGGAAAGTTGTTATCTTGAAGGATGACATCAGGAAGATGGGCCCCCAAACCCCAGTCAGAGTCCTGAGTGGACAAATCGTGACCCTGGACCTGTCAGTCTGGGTCTCTTTGGTCCCTGCCTGGTGCAGGGCGCACAGATTCTCCTCCTCCCAAAGCCATCTCCTCAAGTACTCTTCGTGACCGTTCTTCTACCACTTAAAAAAGGGGTATTGCCCAGGGCCTCTGTTCTCAGCTGCCTTCTCGCCGGCCGCAACACTAGCTCTCCAAGTCAGGGGCTCCCCAGTACCACCTGGCAACCAGCTAACGGAAAGCAGAGAGGCTGTATGGGGCTTCTGACTCTGGGGCCAGAGAGGCTGCTCCAAGAACCTCGCATCTTTCTCTTCCCGCTGCACTTTCTCCAAGAAGGTGTGGTCCCCACTGCTGTCAACAACTCAAGGATGCCAGAGTCAGAGTTACTTCCTGGAAATCCTGGAGCCTGGTACCTGGGACAGGCCTCCAGGAGCTTGGTGAATCTGGTCTCTGGTGGTTTTGTTCTGTTTGTAGAAGTCGAATATCATCAGAGCTGCGTAGACTTTCCCCACTGTCATCTCGTCAGCTGTAAGAAGAGCAGGCGAGGGAGAGAATGAGAGGCTCGAGTTGGGAGGAGAAGTGGGACAGAGAAGCCACAGACCACGCGGGGTGAGGAAACAGCCCCCACCACGAGGACTGCTGGACACGCCCAGGCGGGCGCACAGGGCTCGGCCACACCAGAGGCTGAGCTTGTCCCACCTGGAGCTGCACGGACTCTGCCGAGGCCCCACTGCCTCACCAGGCCCTCAGGCTCCTCCCCACAAAGTGGAGCTGGAGTTGAACCTTCCAGCACCTCATCCTTTCTGGCATCTAACTGTAGGAGTCTCCCTACCTTTTCTCTGGATTTTTTGAAGTAAATTCCCCACACCAGGAGTGTGGATGACTTTGCTCAACAGAACAAAGATCATCTTCTCCACAGCTCTGTGCACCCACTTTGAAGACCAGTCTTCCCTGCAGGTGGAAACTGAGTCAAGACTACGGAGGTGGTGAGCCCCTCTCCAAGGTGACCTGATAGTCGCCCTCGCCCAGGTCTCCCTGCTCTGCCTCTGGGTGGACCACGAAAGGGGGGCAGGCAGAGGGAGTCTCTCACCCTCACTTACGTTTGTGGGGTGGCACCAGCAAATCCAGGGTCTTCTGGGGCAGATTGGCCCACACAGAGGAAATCTCCTTCCTCAACTCAGCGTCACACTGATGCTGCTTCGTGCCAGCTGGGGCAGCGCAAGGGTGGGAAGGGAAGAGCGATGTTAGGAGCCAGCCCGCAGCCCCCTTGAGGGAGGCAGAGCTGGGGCATGCGGAGAGAGACATGGTGTAGGGAGAAACGGGGCAGAGATGGCACTGGAAGAAAAGTGCGGGGGAAGAACCACTGCCTTGGAGGCTGGTCTGAACTCTCCCTACCAGAATCTGCCTAGAGAAAGAGGTGCGCGAGCAGAGCAGTAAGGTGGTGTGGAGGTGTGCGCACGCGCGTGGGGCTGGGGCAGGGAGCTACAGCAGTGCTCCAGCCACTCATCCATCCATTCAATACTATTTACTGAGCGCCCACCAGATGTCACGTGCTGTTCTAGGGGGCGGAGCAAAACAGAAGAAACCGCCCTTCTGGAGTTACAGGACTTTTAATCTACAATAAAGTAGCAATAAGTTAAAAAATCCAGCACGTTGGACAGAGGAAGAGGCAAGTGGGGAGGGACGAGAAATAGCAGGAGGGCTGCAGTTTTGGACAGCGTGGTCAGGAAAGGTCTCAGAGAAGGGGCAAGTGTGAAAGCCGCTAAAGGCAAAGGCCTCGGAGTGTCACACAGTGAGCCAGGAGGGCAAGGCCGGGACGCAGGCCAGGGACGCTGAGACGGGAGGCAGAGCAGAATTCTGAGCAGAGGGATAAAATACCCTGATTTATCTTATTAAACAGTAAAAGTCACCCTTTTTAGTTACCCCATGCTATGAATTTTGGTGCATACAGTCGTGTATCCACCACCAGTGCCAAGCCCCTTGGGGCCTCGGCAGTGGACCTCCTCTGGCCCCTGGTGAGCATTGAGGCATCTTCCGTCTCCAGTGTTCTGCCTTCTCCAGAACGTCACATGATGGCACCACACCAGGCACTGGCTTTCGAACCTGACGTCTCTAAATTCAGCGTGTCGCATCTGGGTCCTCCATGTTGCTGAACCTCACTGTATGGACAGACAAGTTTGCTCATCCGCTCACCAGCTGACAGACATTCGAGTCGTTTTTAGTTTTGGGTGATTATGAATAAAACCGTAAACATTTGCGTATAGGTTTTTGTGTGGACATATATTTTCATTTCATCCCACTTAGACGTGGCTGGGCCATACAATAAGGAACTGCCAAACTGTTTTCCAAAGTGGCTGCACCAGCTTGTATTCACACCAGGACACTGAAGAAGTCCAGTTTTCTGCATTCTCACCAGCGCTTAATATCATCGTTGAAAAAAGAATTTTAGCCATTATAATAGGCATGTAATGTTACCTTGTTGTAGCTTTATTTTGAATTTCTCCAATGATTAATGATACAGAGCATCTTCACATGTGTTTGCCTTCCATATATCTTCTTTGGTGATGTGTCTGTTCAAATCTTTTGCCCATTTTTGTTGGGTTGTTCATTTTCTTATTACTGAGTTGTGAGAGATCTTTATATATTCTGGAAACCAATCTTATATCAGATAAGTGTTTCACAAATATTTTCTTCAAGTCTCTCACTTGTCTTTTCAGTTTCTTAAATGTCTTTTGAAGAGCAAGAGTTTCTAATTTTGATCAAGTTCAATTTATCAATATTTTCTTTTATAATTCACATTTTTTGTGTCTTACAAAATCTTTGCCTCACTCAAAATTGTCAAGATTTTCTTCCTGAGTTTTACTCTAGAGGTTTTATAATTTTACATTTTGCATTTATGTCTATGATCCATTTGAAGTTAATTTTTGTAAAAGATATGTGCTAAGGACTGAATTGTGCCCCGCCCCATTCATATGTTGAAGCCTTAACCCACAATGTGACTATACTTGGAAATAGGGCCTAGAAGGAGGTAATTAAGGTGAAAGGAGGTCATAAGGGTGGGCCTCAATCCAATAGGGCTGGTGTCTTATAAGAACAGGAAGAGACACCAGAAAGCTGGCTCACTCTCTGCATGTACTCAGGGGACAGGCTGTGTGAGAGCACACAGTGAGAAGGTGGCTGCCTACAAGCCAGGAAAAGAAGCCCCAGAATGAAACCTACCTTCCTGGCACCTTGATCTCTTAGACTTCCAGCCTCCAGACTGTGAGAAATAAATTTCTGTGTTTAAGTCACTCAGTTATATTATTTTGTTATAGCAGCCCAAGCAGACTAAGACAGTAAATGTCAAGATATTTGCAGGGGGGGGGGGAGGTGCAGGGGCATATAGTTGTCTAAATTTTTCCAGCACCATTTGTTGAAAATTATCTTTTCTCCATTTAATTGTCTTTGCAACTTCATTGAAAATTAATTGACTGTATAAGTGTGAATCTATATGGAGTCTCTATTGTGTTCCACTGATTTTTGTCTACATCTTGTCACCAACACCACTTGATGGATGTAGCTTTACAGAAAGTCTTTGATTCAGGTAGGGTGAGTTTTTCACCTTTGTTCTTCTTTTTTCAAAATTGTTTATGTTACTCAAGTTCTTTTGCTTTTCTACCTATATTTTAGAATTGCTTTGTAAATTTCTACCCAAAAGCCTGTTGGGATTTTAACTGGGATAACATTGATTCTATGGATCAATATGGGGAGAATTGAAATCTTAACAATACTGAGTGTTCCAACACATGAACATGACATAGTGCTTGATTTATTTAGGTCTTCTTTGATTCCTTTGGTCAATGGTTTAAAATTTGCAGCATACGAATCTTGCATATATTTTTTAGAGTTACCCAGCAATACAGAAGTATTTCATGTGTTTGATGCAATTTTAATGGAACTTTTTAAAATTTGAATTGTTACTTGCTAATATATAGAAATACATTCACTTTTTGTATATTGACCCGTATCCTGTGATCTTGCTATACTCATGTATTAGTTTTAGTAACTTTTTTTTAAACGGTTTAAAACAACAGAAATTTATTGTCTCAGTTCTGGAGGCCAGAGGCTCAAAATCAAGGTGTCAGCAGGGCCATGCTCCCTCCAAAGGCTCTAATGAAGAATACTTCCTTGCCTCTTCATAGCTTCTGGTGGCTCCCAGAAATCCTTGGCAATCCTTGGCTTGTAGATGCCTCAGTTTTATTAACTTTTTATTAGACTCTTTGGGATTTTCTGCATAGATAATGACATCAGTTGTGAATAGAGGCAGTTTCATTTCTTTCTCTCAATTGGCACACCTCTTATTTCTTTTTCTTGACTTATTACAATGGCCAGGACCTCAAGTACAATGTTGAACAAGAATGGTGACAGCAGACATCCTTGCCTTGTCCTTGATCTTAGGGGAAAGTAGTCAGTCTTTCTTTGTTAAGTATGTCGTTAGCTGTAGGTTTTTCATAGATATCCTTGATCAGATTTAAGAAGTTTCCTTTAATTACTAGTTTATGTAGAATTTTTTTTAATCATGAATGGATGTTAAATTTTGTCAAATGCTTTTTCTGCATCCATTGAGATGATCATACAGTTTTTCTTCTGTGATATATTAAGTTATATTGATTGATTTTTAAACTTGAACCAACCTTGCATTCCTGGGATAAACCCTACTTTTGTCATCATGTATTAATATATATATGTTTAGTTTGCTAAAATTGTGTTGAAGATTTTTGTGTCTCTATTCATGAGGGCCGTTGGTCTGTAATTTCCTTTCCTTGTAATGTCTTTTTCTAGTTTTGGTATCAGAGTAATGCTGGCCTTGTAAAATAAGCTTGGAAATATCCTCTCTTTTTCTATTTTCTGGAAGAGTTTGTATAGAACTGGCATTATTTCCTCCAAAAATGTTTGGTAGACTTCACCAATGAAGCCAACTGGGCCTGCAGTTTTCTTTGTTGGGAATTTTTTAACTATGAATTTAATTTATTTAATAAATATAGTATTACTCAGGTTATCTATTCTTTTTTTCAGATTATCTCTTCTTGAATGAGCTTGACAGTTAGTCTCAAGGAATTTTCCCATTTCACTTAAGTTATTGAAGTTATTGACATAACTTCATAAAATTTCCTTATTATCCATTTAATGTCAGTAAAATCTGTGGTGGTATTCCCTTTTTAGTTCCTTATATTGGTTTTTTTTTTCTCTCTTTTTTTCTTGATCAGTCTAGCTAGAGGCTTATTAATTTTATTCGTTTTATTTTTAACATGATCACTCTGGCTGCTGTGTTGAAGGTAGACTGAAAGGGGCAGGGCAGAAGCAGACCAGTTAGAAGGCTACTGCGACAATCCAGCCAGCAGCTGACAGAATGGTTTGGACCAGGAGGTGGCAGTGGGAGAGGGTAGAGAAGTGATCATATTCTGGGTGTATTTCGAAGGTAGAGTAAGAAGATATGATACAAGATTAGAGATGGATCAGAAGACGTAAGAAAAAAAAGAGAGAAAAGAATGACTCCAAAAGTTTTGGTTTGAGCAGCTGGAAGAACAGAGTTTCCATGAATAGAGATGGGGAAGACTATGGGAATATGTGGAGCTCAGTTTGGGCAAGTGAACTTTGGTTGTTTATTGGGCCTCCAAGTGGAGATGGGGAATAACTTGTGGGATAGAGGCCTGGGCTAAAAATACAAAATTGGAATTCACGATATTTAAAGCCATGGGAATTGGTGAGATGGCAAATAGAACAGTCTGAGGCACACAGTGACAATCAGAGATGGGAGATATGAGAAACCAGAAAAAGAGACATAAACGGGTTTCAAAAAGAAGGAAGTAGCAACTGAGAAAAGGCTGCTGACAGGTCCATGAGACAAGGGCTGCGAACGTGGAGGCCCCTGGAGGCTTACCAAGAGCAGTTCCAGCAGAGCGCTGCAGTGGCTAGAGACTGAGAAAGAGAAATCAGATGACACAGACCAGTCTCTCAAGGAGCTGGCTGCTATGAAGGAAAGAAGAAAAATAGGGAAGTCGATGCGGGAGGAAGAGAAGAACTTTTTAAAGATGGAAGAAATAATAGCATGTTTATATAGGGATACACATAATCCAGTAGAGAGAGAAAAGGACAGAGCAAGAAACAGGGTACAGAATTCCTGGCACGACGTGATCATGGTGACATCAGGACCTAGCATGCAAGGTGGGGACTGGCCTCGACTCATCTGTTACACAAGAGATGGCCACACTCAAGGGTGCAGATGCAGGGAGGAGGGCGATGGGGGGGGCGTGCAGGCCCCCTCTGGTGACTCTGTTTCTCTGTGGAGGGGCAGCAGTCATCACACGAGAGTGAGGGCGGGGAGGACAAACGAGCTCCGTTCTCTCTGCACTTGGCACAGGCTGTGCAGTCCTGTGGGAAGCTCAGGAGAGGGCCTGACAGCTCGCTATGGGGAGGGGCAGAAGGCACGCAGACACTTCACCCCAGAAGGGGTGCTGACTCATGTGAGGCAGGGCCAGGCCTGTGTTCTGGCTCCAACACTCGCTAGCTCTGGATAAGCTGGACAAGTCAGTTAACTTCACTGCACCTCAGTTTCCTTATAGGAAAATGGGGTCACTACAGTGCTAACATGCAGGATGGCTACCAGGGGATGAAGTCAGTGCCCAACAGAAGTGCCACAGGCAGCTGTCCTCAGTCCCCCCAGACAGCCCCCTCACCCCCTCCCTGCACACCAGCCTGGGGGTGGCTTTCAAGGGCGGTCCCACGGCCCTGGCTTGGTGCGCTCCCTCCAAGGCTGCCTTGCTCACCCGGAGCCAGCTTGATCTCCAGCGCGGTCCGGATGAGGGCCATCAGTGTGGATGTGAAGTGGACGGTCATGTCCTCGTTGGAGATGGGCATGTTCATGCGAACCAGGCGCTGGGGACAAGGGAGCAGGTCAGGGCCAGTCCTACCTGGGTCCCCCCGCCACAGGACTACGCAGTGCTTGAGGCCCCTGGAGGCTGGGCTTGGCCTCCCGGGGGTGGTCCCTGCAGGTGCCGGGGCCCAAGTGAGATTGGGTAGGTGGGAGTTTTGCCAGCATTCACACTCACCCCTGGACCCCCATCCTCATCTGAGCTGAGGATTCTCCTGGCTACAGAAAAGTAGAAGTCCAGATAAAGACTGTAGCATAGGGCCAGGGCAGAAGCCTGGATCCCTCTGAAAGAACAGGCACATCCTCAGCCAGAGGGACCCCTGCCCACTGCCCATGGCTGGAAGAGTGTGTGACCTTGGCTGAGGAGGGAGGGGTCTGGGCTGCAGGATCAAGGCTGACATGCCCTGGGACAGCCCACAGACAGGAGGGAAGACCCCTGCCCTCACAGTTCTGCCTAACCTCTATTCCCATCTGCAGCCTGGAGCACTGGACAAGGGATGGGGTAGCCAAGAATGCAGCTCTGAGGTCCAGCACCCACTGGGCATCCCTCAGGCCCAGGAAGTCTTCTGGCTCTCACCACCCAGCCAGGGGGCCTGGAGGAGATGCTCAATGCCACACGCCCAAGGAAGCAGGGGAAGCCTTAGAGACCAGCTCCTCCCAGCCAGAAGGCCCCGGAACAGATGGGACGGCACGGGGTCTTGGGCTCAGCCAGCAGCACGCGGGCTAGTAGGGGTGGCTCAGGGCCATCCGAAGGAATATAAGCACTCTGGACAAGACCGGGGGCAGCCCCCTGCAGCTCTGCTCCCCATTTCCTCATCAGGTGAGCAGCCTCCCTTCCTCTCTTCAGTTTCAAGGACAGAACAGCTGGAGATAGGTGTGTCTGCACTGCAGTCCTCTGAGTACAGCCAGCAGCTGCCAAAAGCCTGAGGCTCTGAGAACTTAAGCAATTTCCAGGAGGAAAAGGGTCTCGATGTGTCTGGAATGTCCTGAGCATGGGGCGCCACCCAGCTGGCCAAGTGGAGCCCAGTGGCACTGCGACCTATCTATCCCCTCCCAGTAGCCTCCTGTCCCCTACCGCAGGGCCCCTCCCTGGGGTCTGCCCGTCCTCTGCCAGGCCTGCACCCTGCAACAGGGCAGCTTCTCTGGGGAGGGCCACTCTGCCCCCAGCCCTGCCTCCAGCATCCTGGCCCAAAATCCAATCCTCAGCATGACAGAGGGCAGGTGGCTAGAGACATGAGCCCAGACTCTCTCCCCCGAATGCTGGCAAAGCCCCACTTGGCATGTCCAATCATGGTCCCAGGACCTCACATGTCACCTGTGTGATGCACACCAGGAAAAACAGCTTCCCAGAGCACAGTGTCCCTGCAGACCAGCACCGATGGCAGTGGCAGAGGCACAGGAATTCCTCTCCAGGGGAGTCAGGGAGTCAGGAACCGGCATGAAGGAGGAGCAAGAAGGTGATTTCCAAGAGAGGAGAACTCTGTCCAGGGCACCTTCACCAGCGGCTCCCGTCTGCCTGCCTAAGTCCTGGAGGGCCAGGAACCTCAGGGCTCAGCAGAGGGGCAAGGCCAGGGCAAACAGACGGGCATCTCTGCCCAGGGCCTAGACGCCCCTGGCCACGGCCCTCTGTGTATCTCCTGGACCCTCCCAGCTCGCCAAACCCATCCACTCCCACCGGCCCCAAGGCCTCCGCTGGTCTTATCATGCCCAGGACCTTGGAGTTGGCCAGCACAGCTGGGGAGGGGCTCCAAAGGCCACCCTGTCGTGGCCCTGCCTGTCCACTCTGGCCCTGGGTGTGAGTGTGGACAGAGTTCTCCTTCTTGGGGACCAAGCTACAGCCTTGCATGCAGGGCTCCAGGCAGGCACAACATGCATGCCAGGCAGGGGAGGGCTGAGGAAGACACCAGAGGCATCTGCGTGTGGCTTGGAGGAGCCACTCAGCTCCCAAAGGCTGTGCTGAGCCAGGTTACAGGCGCAGGCCAGAATTGGAGCACAGAGACAGACAGCGTGGACAGAACCAGAGATGAAATCTCTAGGGGGAAGCTGGCTCAGAGGGAGGCAGATGGCAAGAGGGTTCCAGACACATGCTAGCTGAGCTGTAGGACTCGGGCCGGCTCTGTTTGCTGGGGAGACTGGGGGCCTCAGGAGGGCTCTCGGGTGGGTAGGTGGGGTGCTAGGGGAATGAAAGGTGCTTACGCACCAAGGGGGTGACTGAGGATGTACGGCAGGTAGGAGCAGGCATGGGGCTGGAGCCACGTGACCTGCTTGCTCACCCAGAGGGGAGGCCTGGAGGCGTCCCTCAGTTTACCCCTCTGGACATTCAGCCACCTGGGCTCCTCAGCAAGGGTGGAGGGGGCATGGGGCCGCCTGGCCCCCGGGGCTGTCCCCTCCCTGTCCCCCTTCCTCCTTAATGCCACAGTGCCTCCTTCCCACCAGGCGCCTATGGAGCCCTGCAGACAATGCAGCCCGGTTGGGGAGGTTCTGCATGAGCAGAGCTGGGGTTGGCTCCTCAGATGCACCAGAGGCCCTGCAGGTCCTTGTTCCCCAAGGGCAGACCCTGAGAGCTGGACCACTTCACCCATATCAGAGTCTTAGGGGACAGAGGGGCTAAGTGTGATCCTGAGCCCAGAACAAAAACAGCTTCTGTCAAAAAAGCGGGTCTATCCCCTCATTTCTAGGAAAGAGGAGGGAGGGAGAAAAGGCAGGTGGAGGTCTCTGGCACCATATTCCTGAGTCTCTTGGGGGCTCTCAGAGGGGGCAGCCCTGGGGGACAAGGGGCTGGTACAGAGAGACCTTTACAGTGTCTGTGTCCCTCCGTCTGGGATGGAAGCAGAGATGGTGGGGGCAGAGAAGAGAAAGAAACAGTGAGACAGCAGCACGGCAGGTAGACAGACAGACAGGCCCCAAGAAGCGATGGGAGGCCAGCCCCAGCACAGACAGCCTGGGGGGTTCAGGGTTGGGGTCTACCTTGTATGCAACTCGAGCAGGGCATTTCTTCCCCAGCCCCAGGGGGGGGGACATGTGTTTCAGCATCTCAAACATGTCATTGTAACTGATGCGCCCACTGGAGACCCAGCCCAGAGAGGCAGAGGCAGAGTGGGGTCCACAGGAGGGGTGCGGCAGGAGGGGCAGGGGGAGGAAGCACACAAGAAAACAGATTCAGTTAACCAGCATCCGATTAAATGCCAAAAGTCCAAATAAGTAAGATGAGGGTTTCTCTGCTTGACTCGATCCCCTCCTTTCCCCCCAGCCTCACCTCCGCACTCCAGCCCCACGCAGGGCAGCGGGCAGGGGTGACGTCAGAGCTAATGAACATGGAGGGATGAGGAAGGGCTGCATCGGGGCGGCTTTGGGTTGTCAACTTCTGATTTTATACTTTTAGAAACCACAGATAAAGCCAAATCAGAAAAGGGCTGTTGCACCATGCCGGGAGAGCTGGCAGACAGTGTTACACGACCCATGAGGCCAGCCTGAGCACCACAACACAAACTTCAGCTTTTCTTAATGCTCGATTTGCTTCCACATTAGCCTAGAGGCTAAAAAGGTGGAGAAAACTATAACAGAAGCCAGAAAACTAGAGCTGCACTGTTCTGCAGGGAACCCCGAGGCTCTAGAGACAAACTCGACCAAGGCACGTCCTCCTCTAAGCCCAGAGATGCCCGAGGCCGGCCCAGGGCAGGGCTGCTGCGGCCAGGGCTGGGCAGGAAATGGGAGACTGCGGGGCAGGGGTGCAGCTAGGGGCATGTGGCTTGGTGCCACTCCTGCACCTCCTGACAGCACAGCAGGGGCAGGGCTGGGACCGACACAAGGGACAAGCGTCCAGATTCAGGGAGGTGTCTGGGGGCTGATGGCTGCATCTTCCCGAAGTAGAGAGGCCACCAGGTCTGAAGCCTCACCTCCACCCCGGGACACTTGCCTGTGGGACCTGCTTGGGGTCCCAGAGAAACAGTCGGCTTCAGGCCACCCAGGAGAGAAAGTGAACAGCCTTTTCCTGGCAGGCGGATCCGCCCCAGGGCCTGGCCCTCCTCCAGGGCTCAGACGATTGAGTAAATCAACCCAGAGGTGAAGCAGGAGGGCCTGTCTTTGGGCCCCCACTGCCTCTGCCCTCTCCTCCCCAACTTCTGACCCGAGCTGGCAGCTGCTCCCCGTCTATTTGCACCCACACTCCCCTCCTCTGGGGCCCTCGGTCTCCGGCCTGTCTGACCATCAGCCCACCCTCGAGAGCCCGGAGGCAAAGCGGGTGAGACAGCTTCTTCCTCGGCACAGGTGAGACCTGGCCCCCGGCTCTCCCTTGGCAGCTGGCCCTTACCCTCACGGCCCCGCCAGAAAGCTCTGAGTGCACTGTCTCATAAGGCTACCTGTCCTCAGCCAGCTGGAGGGGTCGGGGAGGTTAGATGGGGACAAAAGCGCCCAAGAGGTTGGAGTGCGGGGCAGGGCAGGGCGGGAGAAGAGAGGTGAGGTGTCGTCATTCCCAAACCAGGCAGGGAATGTGTGCTGTGTTTGCATGTCGGGCAGGGAAGAGCATGTCAATGGAGGCTCTGAAGTCGCAAACCTTGTAGGCCAACCTACGAGGGCAGTTCTTCCCTAAGCCAACGGGTGGCGCAATACAACGCAACAAACTGTACAAATCCTTATAATGAATCCGGCAACTGGAAAGGAAACGTCACACGTTATGGCAACCAAGGCAGACCAGCCTGTCCCACCCGCCCCCCAGCCTGGGACAGGAAGACGCTAAGGAGGTAGAGCCAGGGGGCTGGACAGGCATCACCCTGCCGGGGATAGCCAGGACTTGGAATGCCCCAGGAGGCGTGGCAACCCCAAGACAACTTCCAGAGCCTGATGCAGGCAGGAGACACTTGCACAGAACCAGCATGGCCCTGTCCCAAGCCCTACTCTGCTCACACTCTGCACACACCACAACCGCTGGGAGTCCCTCCCTGGGCCTCTGGCAGCCCCTCCCCTTGCTCCCCGAGTGCCTGAGCCCCCAGGGCCTCTGCGACCCTGCTCTCCTGACTGTCCCCACCTCCCTGGACACACCGTGTCCTCCCCTGGATCTGCTGGTCCAGCTCAGCAGATCCTCGTCCCATGGCGGACACACTGGCCAACACTGACGCTTCTCTCTCCTGCACTACGGCCCCTCAGTCCAATCAGCTCCAAACTGTTGCATTTACTTCTGGAAAAGAGGGAGGAAAGAGGAAGCCCCACTCCGGCCTCACTCCAAGTACTCGCTAACCTCGTTGGACTGGAGGGACCACCACAAAGGGGCCGGAAGCTTGGTGGAGCCCCTAGCCTGACAATCGCCCCCATCCCAGTTCAGAGCCTGTTTCTTGGCTCATCTTCTCTCTTCTGCCATCAAAGCCCTCAGATGCCACCAGACGAAAAGTGTGGGCATGATACTGTCACTCCGATTCAAAAACTATCCCCACTGTCTACAAAACAAGGTCAAAGCTACTTGTTTAACCCACATGTCAAGGCCCTTCTCAACCTGCCTCAGCCGTCCTTCCCACCCCTCCTCGGTGGGCCCTCCTCTCCAGCCTCCCTTCCCCTCTGCCCACCCTCTGAGCTCACCCCATCCTGCTCCTTCCGCTCATCCTCAGACGTGCCCTGGCCACACACTAGGTGGCACTCTTCCCCCGCGGCCCTGCAGGCAGAGCGCGCTGGGAGCACGTGTCTGCTCAGCACACGGCAGACGCTCAAGAAAGTTACTGGACAGACGCATGAACGTAAAGACGAGCAGACAGTTCACTCACAGCAGGTGTGGTTGTGAGTCTCCTTTCGAGTCTCTACACTTCACACAGAGCTGAGGCAGCAACAAAAGGGAGGATGGGGGAATGCAGCACCGGAAGCAACAATTCCATGCTTCCTCATCCCCCCACCGCATGCATGCGCGCGCACACACAGTGCACATGTACACTCACGCACACATGCATTCACACACGTTTACACACACAAGCGCATGCACACGTGCACACAGGTGCACACATGCAAACGCAGCGCAAAACATGCACAAAATCACGTGTGCGCTCATAACGCACATACAAAACACGCATATGCTCACACACGTGTGTATGCCTGCCTGCATAATGCACAAACACACATGCACACATGTGTACACAGAGCTGTGCACACATACACATCCATGCACACGTGCATATGCATGCACATGCACACCCACATATGCTTGTGCGCACATTCAGATAGCCACACAGTGCAGACACAGACACACACACACACCATGAAAGCTTGGGAAATTTCACAAAGTTTTGTTATTGTTTCAAAGTCTCCCCGAGAAAGAGGAGACAACAGAGTGGTCACCTGGGAAATAACCATGACCACACCCTCACATCTGTCGTGGAGGCTAGTGAAAGGCTCACAGCACCCTCTGTCCTGCCCAGGATGTGGGGTCCAGACGGCTCTGCCACCTTTGCCGGGCCTCCCCCTGCCCCAGCTGTCTGGACGTGAGCTACGTTTTCAGCCTCGTGGGAGCAGCGAGTCTGAGTGTTAGTTGTGGGTCACACCTGCGCTACTTCTGGACCACAGGTCTTGTGTTGTCTTGCATGTGCCCCTCTGGGGTGAGGCTCACGTTTTGCTGTCTGCTCTCCACAAGCATCTTGACGTACCGCTGGCTGCCTGTGCCTTCCAGGGCCCCAGTTCTAGAACTCTGGATTTGCGAAGCAGTCTGAGCCCTCTCTGGCCCAAGTCCACTTCTTGCATGTCCTAATTCTGCTCTACCTGTGGCTGACTGGAGGAGTCCTGGCCTACGGTTCATAGAGATCTGGGGGATGTCACCCCTTCTCGCAGGCCTGCACTGATCTTTCTTTGCCCATTAGTCCAGTCACATCCTACACATCTCTGTTTTTCAGCAACACAATCTCCTCTAGAAAAAAATCTTTCAACCACAGCCAGGACACCCCTCCTGGAATGAGCCTCAATCCTGCCTCAACTGGAGTCTCTCCTGCCCTCTGCCTGACAAGGATCAGGCCTTGGTGTGGTCAGTCTTCCCTCCGATCTGACCAGAGAGCCCGTGCGCTCCAGCACCAGCGCAGGGTCCTGCAGGGTAGACATGCCGATGCACCAGGAAAATGACAGGACTCTCAAGGCACGAGAACAGCCATGTACACCATGAAACATAAATCACAGCCATGCTTGTTCTGTCCCAAGTGAAAGCTGTAACTTTTTATTCCAGTGGAAACACCCAGAGATGCTGGGGCCTGGAAGTGCCCCAAAGTCCCAGGTGCTGCCAGCGGTGCCTGGGCTTGTCCAGACTGGGAAAGGCTTCACACAGCACCTTCGGGATCCTGTGTGATGTAATGGGATAGGGGCTCCAGGGAGGCTGGAGGAGAAGGGAGTAAGGGAGCCCAGCCAAGCTCCCAGGCCTTTGCGGTCTTAGGGGTCAGAAAGCTCCAGAGGACTCCCCATGCTGAGCTTCAATTTAGGGAAAAACAGGCAGAACCCCAGCCACGAAGTGGGATCCTCACCGTGAGAACACTGACAGCGTCCTCCAGGCCTCGGGCACACAGGGGTGACCAAACGAGGAGCCGTGTGAGGGTCACATGGGCAGGCTGGGGAGCCTCGGAGAGAGGAGGCAGAAAACGGCTGTACCCCCAGCTCCACAGTCTCCTCGTCCCCCTAGAACACGGGAAGTGACAGGCACCCCACATTCACTGGTGCTCAGATGGTTCACGTGCACATCTGCTGAGCGCTCACCACGGGCGAGGCGCTGAGCAGGCCAGGTCTCCCGCCCCTCCAGGTCCTGTGTTTTCCTTACAGAGAGCATGCCCTCGGTAATTACTCAAGCAGCCACTTGAGAGAGTGAATGAATGAATGAGCAAGTGAACGAGTGACAAGAGAACAGACAAATGGGCAGATGGTGAATCCATGCTGCTCTGCTGGCCCCAAGGATGAACGTATGCCATGGGTGTGCAGGACTCTCCCGTGGAACATGGTCTCCAACAACCTTCTGACCCAAACCACTCCCTCCATGAGACCCCTGCTCTGTCTGGAACGAATCAGCCCTCCCTTATGCAGCACAGTAACCCTTTCTCACCACGACCAAAGGGTCTTCAACAAACTAGACCCTTCCTGGTAGCTCGTGTGATTTCATTAAGAGCTCACCAAGTGCCCACTATCTGCAGCCTGGGCTGGGGACACAGAGAAGCACATCGGCTCTTGTCCCCGAGGGAGATGGCAGAGAGTGGGAGCCCCGAGTCCATCAGGGAGAATGTCCTAAGGCCCAACATTATTTCTGCCCACAAAGCCCTCCAAAATCCCCGAGGATGGTGAGGCCCCGAGAGAACATCCTTCTGTCGTCCCCATGCCCTCTCCCACTGACCCTCCATGACCCTTACATGGAGGCCTTGTGAGAAGACAGTAAACTCCCATTCAGTAAGAACCTCAAGTCTCACAACACGCCTGAAAACCTCCTAAGAGCTGGACTGAGGGTCTCCAAAGAGGATTTCTCAGCCCAAGAGCACATGGAGAGTGAGGAGGAGAGCACCACCCTGGGGGGGGGGGCAGCACTGTCCTACGTGCAGTGGGATGGAACCCAGGGCCCCAACCAGCACCCAAGGGGGGATGCTCACTTGAAACATGTCCGAAGCCACCCCAGCCCTGTCCTGAGATCCGTGGGCATGGACCATCCCTGAGGACCACAGAGTACGGGGGGTCACTCACCATGCAGCCGGGTCGTACTCAGCCCAGACCCGGATGAACTCGTCCAGGTGGTGAGGCCCTAGGATGGAAGAGTCCCGCGTAAGGTACTCAAAATTGTCCATGATCACAGCCACAAAGAGGTTCAACATCTGCAGGACAGGAAGAAGAGGTGACATAGAGAGACCTCAGCCTGCCCTCTCCCTCCATCCCTCACCCTCCAGCCAAAGTCTGTGTGTGAAGTGATCAAGGCAGCAAAGATCACTGACGCAGCCAGAGCCTGCCCAGCCCTTCTCCCCACAGCCTTGCGGAGGACTCCTAGGGCCTCCTCAACACCAGCAGCAGCCTCGTCCCTCAGGTTCTAGATCCCACAGGCTAACCCTAACCAGTATTTAATCCTTTGAAGGCTCTGCTCTCTACTTCTACTGCCCCATCCTAATTCAGGCCCCATCGTCTCGTGTCCACCATCCATCCTGCCACATAGGTCATCTTCCCCCACTCTGTGATCCCCTCCTCTTCCCCTCTCAGCTAGCCTTCAAGGAAAGCAGTGACTCTGGAGTTAATAGTTTGGGTTCTAGAAGCCAACAGCTAAGGTTCTTCATTCTTTTTTTTTTAATTGAGTTGAAATTCACTTAACACACAATTACATTTTGAAGTGTACAATTCAGTGGCATTTACTGTATTCATAATATTATGCAACCACCACCTCTCTAGTTTCAAAATGTTTCATCATCTCAGAAGAACACTTCGTACCATCAAGTAATCAACACCCTATTCCTCCCTCCTCCCATTCCCTGGCAACTACCAATCTCCTTTCTATATCTATAGATTGGTCTATTTTGGACATTTCATATAAAAGCAATCATACAATATTTGACCTTGTGTCTGGCTTCTTTCACCTAGTGTGATGTTTTCAAGGTTCAACACATCCATGTTGTAGTGTGTGTTAGAATTTCATTCCTTTTTATGGCTGAATAACATTCTATTGTAGGTATATACCACAATTTGTTTATCCATTCATCCACTGATGAACATTTGGGTTGTTTCCATCTTTTGGCTATTATGATTAATGATGCTATAAATATTCATGTACAAGTTTCTGTGTGGACATATCTTTTCATTTCTCTTGAGTATTTACCTAGGAATGGAATTGCTGGGTCATATGGTAATTCTATGCTTAATTTTTTGAGGAACCACCAAATTGTTTTCCACAGAAGATGAGGCATTTTACATTTCCACTAGCAATGTATAAGAGCTCCTATTTCTCCATGTCCTTGCCAACACTTGTTATTTTCCATTTTAAAAAAAATTATTATTATAGCCATCCTAGGGAGTGTGAAATGGCATCTCGTGGTTTTGATTTGTATTTCCCTGATGATTAGTGATGTTGAGCACCTTTTCATGTACCTGTGGTCATTTGTATGTCTTCTTCGGAAAAATGTCTCTTCAGCCACATTGTTTTAATTATTGTAGCTTTATAGTAAGTTTTGAAATAGGGAAATGTGAGTCCTCTAACTTTGTTTATCTTTTTTAAGATCGTGTTGATTATTTGGGGCTCCTTGCAGTTCCATATGAATTTAAGGATTGGCTTTTCTATTTATGCAAAAAAGGCCCTTAGGATTTTGATATGGAATGCATTTAATCTGTAGATCACTTTGGGGGAGTACTGCCATCTTAACAATATTAAGTCTTCTGATTCACGGACATGGATGTCTTTCCATTTAATTAGGTCTTTAATTTCTTTCAGCAATATTTTGTAGTTTTCAAAAAGTGTACAAGTCTTTCAGCTCCAGGGGTATTTATTTATTCCTAGGTATTTTATTCTTTTGGATATTACTGGAAATGGAATTATTTTCCTAATTTCCTTTTCAGATTGTTCATTGCTGGTGTATAGAAACACAACTGATTTTCATGTGTTGATTTTGTAGCCTGAAACTTTGCTGAACTCATTAATTAGTTCTAGTAGTTTGTGTGTGTGTGTGTGTGTGTGTGTGAGTGTGTGAGTGTGTGTGTGTGTGTGTGTGTGTGTGTATTCTTTGGGATTTTCTATATAGAGAATAATGTCATCTGCAAATAGAGACAGTTTTACTTCTTCCTTTCCAATTTAGATGCCTTTTATTTCTTTTTCTTGCCTAATTCCTCTAGCTAGGACTTCCATGACAACGTTGAACAGACATGATGAAAGTGGACATCCTTGTCTTGTTATTCATATTCGGGAGAAAGCTTTTAGTCTTTCACCATTGAGTATGATGTTAGCTGTAGGTTTTTCATAAAAGCCTTTTATCATGTTAAGGAAGTTCTCTTCTATTCCAAGTTTGCTAAGTGTTTTTATCATGAAAGGGTGTTGAATTTTGTCAAATGTTTTTTCTGCAGCTATTGAGATAATCATGTAGTTTTTTTCTTCATCACACTGGTTGATTTTCCTATGTTGAACCATCCTTGCATTGCTGGGATAAATCCCATTTGGTCATGTGTTGGTGGAATTAGTTTGACAGTATCTTGCTAGCATTTTTACATGTATATTCATGAAGATATTGGTCTGCGGTTGTCTTTTCTTGTGGCATCTTTGTCTGGCTTTGGTATCAGGGTGACACTGGCATCACAGAATATTAGGAAGTGTTCTCTCCTGTTCCATTTTTTGGAAGAGTTTGAGTAGGATTGATGTGAATTATTTTTAATACCATTTTTTATTGTGGTAAAATACACATAACAAAATACCAGTTTAACCATTTTAAGTGTATAGATCAGTGGCATTAAGTACATTCACACTGTTGTGCAATCATCACCACCATTGGTCTACAGAACTTTTTCATCTTCCCAAACTGAAACTCCATACCCATTAAACATTAACTCCCCATTCAGCTTTCTACTTTCTGTCTCTATGAATTTGACTACTCTATGTATCTCATATAAGAGGAATCATACAGTATTTTTCTTTTTGTGACTGGTTTATTTCACTTAGAATAATGTCTTCAAGATCCATTCATATTGTAGCATGTGTCAGAATTGCCTGCCTTTTTAACGCTGAATAATTTTCCCTTGTATGTTCATATCACATCTTGCTTATCCACCATCTGTTGATGGACACTTCGGTTGCTTTTACCTTTTCGCTATTAAGAATAATGCTGCTATGAACATGTGTGTACAAATACTATTTGAGTCCCTGCTTTCAATTCTTTTGGGTTTATATCCAGAAGTGGAATTATTGAAGTAGATTATATTGTAACTCTACTTTTAATTTTTTGAGGAACTTCCATACTGTTTTCTATAGTGGCTGCACCATTTTACATTCCCACCAGCAGTGCACAAGGGTTCCAATTTCTCCACATCCTCACAAACACTTATTTTCTGTTTCCTTTTGTTTTTTCTTTTAGTTTTTTCTAACAGTAATCCTAATGGGTATGAAGTGGTATCTCACTGGAGTTTTGATTTGCATTTCCCTAATGATTAGTGATATTGAGCATCTTTTCATGTGCTTATTGGCCATTTGTACATTTTCTTTATACAAATGTCTATTTAAGTCCTTTGCCTATTTTTATACAGTTGTATGTCTTTTTGCTGTTGGGTTGTAAGAGTTGTTTACACATTTTGGATATTAACCCCTTATCACATATATGATTTGAAACATCTTCTCCCATTCCTTGGGTTGCCTTTTCACTTTGTGGATAGGTCCTTTGATGCATAAAAATTTTAATTTTGAGTAATCCAACTTATCCATTTTTTCTTTTGCTGCTCATGATTTTGGTGTCAAATATAAGAATGCTTTGCCAAATCTGAGGTCATGAAAATTTGCCCACTATGTTTTTGTCTAAGATTTTTATAGTTTTATCTCTTTTATTTAGGTCTTTGATCAATTTTGGGTTTGATTTTTTATATGTTGTAAGGTAAGGGTACAGCTTCATCCTTTTGCATGTGGATATGCAGTTTTCCTATCACCATTTGTTGAAAACTCTATATTTCCTCATTAAATGGTTTTGGCAGCTTTATCAAAAATCTTTTGACTCTATATGCGAGGGTTTATTTCTGGGCTCTCTATTCTATTCCATCAGTCTATATGTTTGTCTTTATGCCAGTACTATACTGTTTTGATTCCTGAAGATTTGAAATAAATTTTGAAATCAGGAAGTGTGAGACCTCCAACTTTGTTCTTCAAGATTTTTTTTTTTTTGGCTATTCGTGGACCCCTGAAATTCCATATGAATTTTGGATGGATTTTTCTATTTCTGTAAAAAAATAAAAAACACTGATTTTGATAAGGATTGCATTGAATCATAGGTCACTTTGGATAGTATTGACATATTAGCAATATTAAATCTTCCAATCCATGGGTATGGAATGTCTTTCCACTTAGTTAGGTCTTCTTTAATGTCTTTCAGCAACATTTTGCAGTTTTCAGTGTACAAGTCTTTCACCTCTTTGGTTAAGTTTATTTCTAAGCATTTTATTCTTTTTGATGTCATTGTAAATGGAATTGTTTTCTTAATTTCCTTTTCAGAATGTTCATTGTTAATGTATAGAATGCAACTGACTTTTGTGTGTTAATTTTGTACCCAGTAACTTTGCTGAATTAATTCATTAGTTCTGATAGGTTTTTTGGGGAATATTTAGGATTTTCTACACATAAGATCATGTCATCTGCAAAAAGTGATAAACTTCTTCCCTTCTAATTTGGATGCCTATTTATTTTGCTTGACTAATTGCTTTGGCTAGGACTTCCAGTACTATATTGAATAGAATTGGCAAAAGCAGGCATCCCTGCCTTATTCCTGATCTTAGGAGAAAACCTTTCCTTTTTTCATCACTGAATATGATGTTAGCTGTGAGTTTTTCATATATGACCTTTATTATGTTAAGGTAGTTTCCTTTTATTTCTAGCTTGTTGAGTATTTTTATCAAGAAAGGAGACTGAATTTTTTCAAATGATTTTTCTACATCAATTGAGATGATCATGTTTTCTTCCCTTCATTCTGTTATTGTGGTGTATTGCATTGATTTTCATATGTTGAACCATCCTTGCATTCCAGGAATAAATGCTACTTGGTGATGGCACATAATCCTTTTAATATCGTGTTAAATTTGGTTTGCTAGTATTTTCTTGAGGATTTTTGCATCAACAGTCATGGGGGTATTGGTCTGCAGTTTTCTTTCCTGGTAGTATCTTTGTCTGGTTTTGGTATCAAGGTAATGCTGGCCTCATAGAATGAGTTTGGAAGTGTTCTCTCTTCTTCAATTTTTTGGAAGAGTTTGAGGAAGACTGGTGTTAATTCTTCTTTAAATGTTGGGAAGACTTCACCAGTGAAGGCATCTGGTCCTGAACTTTAATTTCCTGGAAGGTTTTTGAATACTGATTCAAACTCCTTACTTGTTATAGTTCTATTTGGATTTTCTATTCCTTCTTGAGTCAGTTATGGTAATTAGTATCTTTCTAGGAATTTGTCCATTTCAACAGCTTGGGTTCTAAACAGAGGCCAATCAAGATATTTGACATCTCTCGGGCCGGCCCCGTGGCTTAGCGGTTAAGTGCATGCGCTCTGCTGCTGGTGGCCCGGGTTTGGATTCCAGGCACGCACCGACGCACCGCTTCTCCACCCATGCTGAGGCCACGTCCCACATACAGCAACTAGAAGGATGTGCAACTATGACATACAACTATCTACTGGGGCTTTGGGGAAAAAAAGGAGGAGGATTGGCAATGGATGTTAGCTCAGAGCCGGTCTTCCTCAGCAAAAAGAGGAGGATTAGCATGGATGTTAGCTCAGGGCTGATCTTCCTCACAAAAAAAAAAAAAGATATTTGACATCTCTAAGCATCCATTTCTTCACTGTGATGATAATCATACCAATCGTAGTCACAGGATCTGCATAGTACCTGATTCAATACTTGTAAGCAGGTCATCACCACCCTCATTTCCTGTTATTCTGTCAATGCCCCTCTACTCCAATCAAGGTGACTGAATCCCAACCTAACCTAGTCCTGACACTCATCCCAAAATCACAATTCCATTTTTCCCACTGTCACTTCTCTGTCAGACCAAGCCAGACCTAAGCGCTTCAAAGCATGAGTTACCCAACAGATCCACACCTGACAGATAGGTGCCAGGAGGGCTGTGTTTCCAGCCTACACCCCTTCTCCACTTCAGTCAAGGAAAAGGCACCTGTGTTAGCCAAGAGCTCTGAGGGAGGTCCACGGGAATAAGACACAAAGGACAGCGGCCACCAAATATCCACTTTTCTACACAAGAGTGACAGCTAAACCCAGGGGATTCTTCAACTCATCCTGGACATGTCCAGGGAGTGCTGGCCCTGTGGCATCATGTATGTGGCTTTCTGTGGAATCTCATCTCTGCAGCCAGGAGCATGCTGAGGCCAGGATGGTGGGCTCAATTTTGCACTCATGGGTAGGCTGGCTCTTGCAGCACCAGGTGTTTTTGAACTGCATAGAGAACCAATGCCCCCACTACCTACAGGGCAGTGACTCTCCAGAAAATCTTCCCTCCCCACTCCCATAAGGGGTCTTCTGAGGGATCAGGGGATGACCGCAACATGCAAATCCTCTCCTTGGTTTCTGACCAATAGTGAAACACAGTTCTGTAGATTTTTCTGTATTTCTCAATCAACATGCAAGCTCGTTCGTCTTACATGCTCACGTTTCCCAACCACCTCAACCTACTGCATCCTCCAAGACTCACAGTCCACCATCGGCAGAAATCCTTATATTTTCATCCTACCTGAATATTCTCCATTTCTTCTTGCTCTAGCTGAAACATGGATGCCCCCCCTCCATCCTCTTAAAAAAAAAAACAAAAAACCTGCTCTTTAGTGCTCATGATCTACTAAACTGCTCCCTTCCTTCATGGAAAATCTAGCACCTGGCTTGCTGGTTTTGTCTCCACTTCTACTCTTATCATCATTCTTGTTGCTGTTAATATCCACAGAGATGAGCCAACTATTATTGCCTGGCCTCTCTGTTCCTTGACCTTCCCCCAACTCTTCCTCATCATCTCAGCTCCTTATTCCTAGGACTATATGCTAAACTTTGTCACTACCAATGAACATTACCATCACCACCTCCAAAGTCTTAACTTCAGATGTCCCACTCTCTGTCCACCTCTCCTATCCTCCTGGCTCACTTCCTTCAATACTTGTATCCCAAAACTTCTTTGTCCATGTGAGGGCCTCCAGTCCTGTGGCCCTGCCCCTCACCTCCCTCCTGCCCTCACCTCCTTCTGTCCCCAGCTTTGATCCCACATCCAACACTAAAATCACACTCACACATACTCTTCTCTCCCTCCTTACACTTGTCTGGAAGCCCCAAATCTGGATAATACACTTCTCTATCCATGGTGCCAAGTCATGAATGCAGCTAGAGAAAAGCACAATCTGTGCTGGCTGGTCCTGCTTGAAAGTTATGACCATAAATCTGAAGTGTTTGCTCAGCGCTGCCCACTGTTCAAAGGAGCTGTCTGCTCTTGCTGTGCTCTTCACCTCTCATTATCTCTTGAACCTGCTGCAATACGACTTTGGTCCCACCATGCCAAGGAAACTGTTTTTGCAAAGGTCACCAATGGCCCCTACCTCTCCACATCTGGTGAACAATTCTCCGTCATCTTCTTACTTTACCTCCTGACAATATTTCACATGATTAACTACTCCCCCCTCTTGAGACACTTTCTTCCCTTGGCTTTTGGGGTACTGCCCTCTCCTGGTTCTTCACCTGCCTCACTGACTGCTCCTTCTCAACGCCTGGATCCAATGCTCCTTTCTGTCTCCTAAATGGCCCCAGGGCTGAATCTTCATCAGTCTTCTCAAACTACACTCTCCCTAGGTCAGTGCTCCTTGAAGTTTAGCACACAAAAAAATCACCTGGGGAGCTTGTTAAAATTCCGATTCCTGGGTCCCTCTCCCAGAGATTCTGACACAGTGAGTCTGGGGAGGGCCCAAGAATCTGCATGTCTAACAAGTGCTCGGGTGATGCTTAAGCTGTGGGTCTCTGAACTACATTTTGTGTAGCAGGGACCTAGAGAATATCATCCAGCCCAATAAATACACCAAACAGTAGTGACAACTATTTTATATCTCCAGCCCAGAGGCCTACTAGGTGTCACTGTTCCCTCCCTGCCTAAGCCCATGCCTGCAGCTCCTCAATCTTCCCATCTCAGGGGGAATACTATTCACTCCATCACCCCAGCAAACCCCAGGGCACGGCTTTCTTTCCTCTTTTTCTCTCATGCACATGTTCAATCATCAACCATGTCAGCTCTACCTTTAAAATACAGCCCAATTCCACCCAGCTCCCCTCACTCCCACCCTTCTTTAGGCCACTGTCACCTCTAATTGTCTCCTGCTCACTCCACAGCCTCTCCTGACCAGAAGCCAGAGTGAAGTCTTAAAATATCAAGCAGATCATGTCCCGCCCCTGCTCAAAGTCTCCCAGAGGCTTCTGCTGACTTGGAATAACATCCACACTCCTGGGACCTAGCCTGCCAATCTCCCCAGCCTGATCCCCCTAGTCTCCTGTGGCGCCTCCACCCCAGGCACGCTGGCCACAGTGCTGCCTCTTTGTATCCCATCACCATGGTGGAAGTCCTTCTAGAAGCTGAAAACTAAAGGATGATTGCCCTATGGAAACTTAAAACCCTTTCCATGGAAGTAAGGGCAGGGCCTGCAGGAGCTCATTGTCCAGTAGGTCCTTTTAGGATTATGAGGTCATCATCTCTGGGGAAACAAGGGCTTATTCAATACAGAATAAGCTTGTAATGTGACATGAATCAAAATCAGGGATCAACAAGTGATGTAGAGGGACCCAAGATGGACTGAGACAGGCAGACACAGGTGTTGGGATGGGCACAGTGACCAGGACTTACCAGAAAGGAGCAAAGGAAGATGAAGGAGACGAAGTAAAAATAGGCAAAGTCGCTCCCACACTCACTGGCGTTGGCATGCTTGTCGCAGGCCCGGTTGCTGAGACAAGACAGCATGATCTCATGCCAGGCCTCCCCGGTGGCACTCCTGAGAAGAAGGGCAGAGCCGTGAGGCCCACGAAGGAAGGCCCAGGACTGGCCTGGGGTGGAATCGGGGGAGCCTGAGCACTCAGGAGATCTGGGTCAAGTGCCCCCCCTCCCCACAGAGAACCTGCACTCATGTAAGGTCTGGGTGACAGATGCCCGCTCCTCAAAAAGAACCCTCTAGAATTAGATTTTCAAATTGATCATTAATTGGGAAAGCACTAGTTACCTAAACATAACCCAGTACACCAGAAGTCAGCACCACGGTAAGCACCCCTTTGCGGACATCTGGCGCCTTGAAGGCAACACACGCCACGTAGACTCCTGATCTCCTCCCCAACACCTTCAAAACCAGCCAGATCTTACCATTCTCACCACCCTGGGTAAGCAACAATCACCCCCCAAGTTGCTACAGCAGCTTCCTAAGGGATCTTCTTGTTCCACCCTCCCTACCCAGCAGCCCAGCAGGTCCACTAAACAGGTCAGAAAGTGCCACTTCTCCTCTTAAGGACGCCCTCATTCACTGCAAAACTCAAAATTCACATGACTGCCCACAGCCCAGTCAGACCTGCTGCCTGCCCTTTCCCTGACCTCACCCCCTACCGTGGTCCCTGTTCAGTCCACTCCAGCCACACCAGCCTTGACTGTTTCTCAAACACACCAAGAACACTCCCACCCTGAGCAGCCACCCTGGAGGACCCTTCTGCATGGACTTTTGTTCCTGGACACACAGCCAGCACCAGTGGCCCGACGTGCACTAGACCTACAGGCAGGCCAGAGGCCTGGATCCCCTCTCTGAGCACCCATGTGACCAACCCCGGGCAGAAGCTGGGCCCACTCCCCACTGACAATGGCTAAAGGTAGGGGGCCTCCTGCAGGGCAGCTGGTTCAGCCTGTGCCAGGCCTGACTGACGAGGGTGCTCACATGTGACACAAAGACCAGGGAGGAAGAGGTCTTTGAGATCAAAGGCTTAAAACTAAGGCTGACTTCACAGGCCTGCCTCAAATCTTTTGTGGCACAAGGCAGGATGTTAATAAATGAGGAAATAAAATTCAAGTAACAACTAAAGTCCAGAGAAATGATGCTATTTGGGGAAACTGTAAGCCTAAGGATGCTTGTTCATCTGATACAAAGCACAAGAGTCAGAAACTCTGTCCAGGGAGCTCAGCAGGCAGGCCTGGGCCGAGCTCACCATCTTTCCAGAGGAGAACTTCCACGAGCCCCAGGACACTCACACAGGGCGGGCTGTGTTGGGCACCCCCAGGGCAGGCCTTGCAGTAGCCAGACACATTTGCACAAATGAACACAAGTGGTGAAACCTCAGGAACGGGCCCCAAGGCAGGGTTTCCACCATAAATCCCTAGGAGGAGCTCTTTTCTTCCCTCCTAAGGTCACGGTGGTAAGCTTGGCTAAACGAAGGAGACTCTGGAGGCAGGGAGATACATTCACCCTCTTCCCTCTGCCACCAAATCTGTTCTCAAATCAAGATGGCCAGCAGCCCCCTGCCCAGAGAGGGTGGACCACCCCTAAGAACAGCAGCTGGCCCCAAACGCTCTCTCAAGCACATCTTCGCAGGGAGGCCTCTGAGCCTGAAACAAGCCCTGTGCCCCTCAAGGTTCCACCCCGGTGCTGGGCTTGGCTGCACCCCAGAGCCAACGGAACCACAGCTCCCACTAGCGATGGTGGCAGGTGGAGTCACTCAGACTAGCAGTCCTGGCCAGTTGGATTCCTTGGGTCACCGAGAAGCTACATGCTCTGTCAACAGCAGTTCCCCCTGCTGCTCTGCTATTCTCTGACCCCACAGATCCCTGTAATCAATACGGTGAGCAGATGGAAAGCTTGAGGCCAGAGCACCAAGAAAGGCCCTGCTGGGCATTTCACCTGTCCTCCTCAGCGTCTCAGGCGCAGCCTCACTGGAGGCCTTTTAGCTTCTGCCAGACAGGTGGTGGAGGCCGTCTGGCCCGGGACTCTCAGGGTTCCCTTCAGTCTGTCCTGAGGCCCAGGAGCCCGCAGGAAAGGACAAGCAGAAAGTGAGGAGAAACTGGAAAGGTCCACTGAGGGGAGCCAGAGTGATCCGGGGCTGGGAGGGGTGGTCCCTGGATCAGCACATACCCTCTCCATCCTGAAGGAAGGGGCTTCTGAGCCTGGGCTGACCTCTCAAACAACACACCTGAACAGCAGCATCAAGGCTTGTAAAAATGTCCGAAAGTTGTTGTGTCGGTTGATGCTGGTGTCATCATCCAGGGCAATATTTCCAAACACCTGGAATGGAAAAAGGGGCTGCAGGGGATACTGCTGGGTCTTCAAGAGCTGTGGTGTGCAGGAGAGGGTGTGTGTGCACATGAGAACCCACAGGGACAGGACGCCACCCTTAGCCAGAGGACGCCCATCGGGAGCCACCCCCGTTGCTGCTGGGGCTGGAGGGGCCAGTGCTTCTGGCTCTGGCAGCGTCTATGCATTTCCAGGGTAGACAAAACCTCTCGAAAACTGAGCACATCACTGCCCCACAGCTCAGCATGTGCTGGCTCCGGCTGAGCGTGTCCAGGGGTCAAGTATGCATGACTAGAAAAACAGGACCCAGCTCTGCTACAGATGAGACAGGAAGAGTTTTCAAGTTTACTCTCTCATCAGTGATTCCAACGCAGTAATAATATTGGTAATAGCTCTGTTAGATCACTTGAGAATTTCTTCTCAAACTTCTGGACAAATATCATGATGAGCTTTTTATCCATTTTAAATTATTTTTTTCAGGGTTAGAACTGCAAACGCCTCAGTAACTATACTTAGCTTAAAATCTGGAATCTGGCTGAAAAATTTAGGAACTATCTATCACATATCCACCCAAAACAAAGATCAGTGACATGTGTTTTTGTACATCCACAGACCAAAGCAGGAAAATATATATATTTATTTAAAATAGCATCAGAGGGCCGGCCCCGTGGCTTAGCCGTTGAGTGAATGCACTCCGCTACTGGCAGCCCGCGTTCGGATCCGGGCGTGCACCGACACACCGCTTCTCCGGCCATGCTGAGGCCGCGTCCCACATACAGCAACTAGAAGGATGTGCAACTATGACATACAACTATCTACTGGGGCTTTGTGGGGGAGGGGAAGGAGGAAGATTGGCAGTAGATGTTAGCTCAGAGCCGGTCTTCCTCAGTAAAAAGAGGAGGATTAGCACGGATGTTAGCTCAGGGCTGATCTTCCTCACGCACATAAATAAATAAATAAATAAATAAATAAATAAATAAATAAATAAAATAGCATCAGCAAATTTTAAAGCAAGAGAACTTTTGAATCCCTGAAATAGAGTTTAAAAATCAGTTTTCAGAACCTTTAAGACACTGGCTCCTCCCACCATAAATTAAGGTTTGGGTCCATCTCCCATCCCTACTGCTGGAAAGTAGCCAGATGCCAAAGGTTTATAACTGGGACATTGCTTTGTGTCTTTTAGCTGACAAATTGTTCTTTGGCAAAATAAAGACAATCTAAATTATGCAAGCTGAATTGATAAGCACGTGATCCGACACGATCCTGTTGACTCTTTTCTGCAGTAGTGTATAATCTCCTGCGAAGGATGAAGAGGGCTGTCCTTCAGAATTGCTGCCAGAACGACCAGGCCCTGCTCTGTAGGCCACTCAGCGCCGTGCAGAGGTGCTCAAACGCTCCACCACCATGGGGCCCAGCACCCACACATGCCCCCCGACACCCCAGCACAGCCCAGTGGGATCCCAGTCAAGAGCACCTCAGAGGGCAGAGCTGCCCCTTACTAGTGGACCTCGGGCAAGAGGCCTCAGTGTCCTCATCCACAGAACAGTCTTGCTGAGGATTAAGCTCACAAAGTGCTCAAAACAGTAGCTGGCTCATAGAAATGTTTGCTAAGTGCCAGTTTGTCATGATCATCATTTAATGGCCATGATCAATGCCCTTTTGCCCCAGGGGACAGGAGCCCCTTGTGCACCCCCTTCCCAGTGAGCACACACACCTGCATGCCAATGATGGCATAGATGAAGAAGAGCATGGCGATGAGCAGGCACACGTAGGGCAGGGCCTGTGGAGACACACGGAGGACTGGTCAGCTGCCCTGCAGGGAGTGCTGCCCTGCCACCCTGCTCGGGCCTCTTCTGGATAGTGGACAGTGGCCCGGTCCCTGGGGCCACACAGACCTCAATCGACCGAAGATCCACCCCTACTGACCACCAAGCCCCTCCACCAAGTGACCGCCTCAGGTTCCCCATCTTCAAATCGGAGTTATAAAACCCACCTCAGAGTTTTGAGAACATTAACGAGATGCTCTCTGGACAACTTAAAATGTCTTTATAAACTACAACAGGGGCCAACAAGGAGATGTGGACCCCTGGCCCCTTCCAGCCTTCTGGGGCGGGGGCGGGGGGCACACCCATCTGCATGACAAAGGGAGGGTTGAGGACAGGGCCTCACCTTGAAGGACTGGACGAAGGTCCACAGCAGGATGCGGATGGTATAGCCCTGGCGGAGCAACTTGATGAGCCGGGCGGCGCGGAAGAGGCGGAGGAAGCTGAGGTTGATGAAGTTGTTCTGCAGGGAGGGAAGGTTGCTCTCTGATCTTTGGAAGTCAGCCCCCCGCAAGTGCAGGCGAGCTGCTCCCCACCCACCTCTCCCAAGTCTCTGTGGTCCCGTAGAAAAGTGCGTAAAAAGAGAGATTAAAAAGAAAAAGTCACCACTTCACAGTCTAAGCAGCAATTGGCCACCAGAAAACCTTCCGAAAGTAAAGCTTGTCATTGCAAGTCACTTCTCATGCAGCAAATCAGAGAAACCCGCTCCACTCCAGGTGCCCCTACCCCCAACAGAGGGAGAGAGGGAAAAGTTCTCCAAAGCAGCTCCCTGCTGCCAGGTGGAGCCGGGAGATCACCGTTGGCTGGGCCTCCAACACTGACCTCCTCTCAGGACACAGCCAAGCAGTCCAGGTGCTGGGCAGGGCTGCTTCCCCACTGGACGCCTCTGAAGGGACCCACCCCAGGCTTGGTGGCCACACCCTTGCCCTTCCCCACAAGGCCAGCAAAGCCCCTGCCTGCCTGGGACCCAGCTGAGGGGCAAACACTTCCTTTGGGGCTGCTCCAGGCGCCTGCAGACAAGTCACCGTAGGAGGCGTAAGTGTGGGCGGTCCTGCTGCTCACGCCCGGAAGCCACCTCTGCAGTTCACCAACAGGTCTCTGCTCCAGGGAACCTGGGACACCTGTGCTGATCCCTCATCCACAGGGTTCAAAACCAAGTACAAAAATAAACCAACAGTCTTTGGACTCCACAGATTACCTGGGAGTGAGGCCTCCACCCTGGACTGGGGCACCTTGAATTACTGGCTCATCCCTTTCAGGGGGTACGGCTCTGGGCGGTGTCCGTGAGTAGATGGGCGTGCTTGTGGACCCAGGTGGCTTCCCACCCTCTGTCTGCTTAGAGACCAGGTGCCCGCACGCAGCCTGAGTGCAGCTTCCTGCCACTCTGATGTTTTAAAATATGCAAGCAGCTCAGACTTAGACACATCGTGTTGCCAGATTCAGCGGTCAAATAAAGAGGAAAGAGAACACAGATGTTGAATGAGACCCCAGCAGCAGGAGAGCGCGTGCAGGAGGTGGTGGGAGCCTGGGCAGAGCCGTGCGCCCTGGCTCCAGGGCTGCCCGTCTGGTCTTGCCTGGAGAGACGGGTCTCACTCCTACTTCCGGAGACAGTGGCCCCAACCCACACCTTGTCTGCCGCCTCCCTGAAGCTTCTCCACTCTCAGGGGCTGGCTTCTTTAGTTCCCACCAGGGTGGCTGGGGACTCTAGACTGTCTCAGCCGGTGAGGGACTAACAGTTACACTGTGGACAGCTGATGGGCAGGACGTTGGAGCCACAGGAGCAGGACTAGTGTCAGACAATGCCTTGGGGTGGGGGGGCAAGGAGTGGTCGACTGTGGTCCAGATCAGCAAGAAGGCAGAAGTGGACCTCAGGGAGTGGCCCTGGAGGGTGCACAGGTATGCCTGCAGCTCCCTCACCTACCTGTGCTGGGGAAAAGGAAACTCAGTGGTACACAGGATGGCTGAGAAATGTCCACTGTCACCATGTGAGCCCTGTGGGCCCCGAGGACTCTCAGATGAGCCAGTCACCTCAGGAGGACGGGCACACGGATGGAAGGGGGACTTTCTCGACAGTGCCAGGAAATTCTTTGCACAAGATGATAAAGCAGAACAAGGGGAGAGGGCTGCCAAGTGCCTGGCCTCCTCAGGAGTCTCCACTTTGAAACCAACAGCTCAGGCAGGTCCAGAGGGGCCAGGACTGTGATAACATTGTCAGTACCTGCTCAGCTCAAAGCAATTTGCTCAGGCAGCTGGCACAGACAAGATTTCCTGAAGATATTGGGTGAAAAATAGGCTTCTGGGTAAGAAAGAAGGGATCAAAGGCAAACAGGGCAGAGAAAGACATTGTTCATCTAAATTACTTAATGCACAAATGCGAAGCTCTGCTAGTCACTTACTACTTTTTGTTGAGACTCAAGTTCCCACCCTCCTCCTGGGCTTCTTTCTTGGGGCTCCACTGGGCACTCAGGAGAGGGGTGGGGGATGGCAACAGACAGACAGCCCTAGAGAGCCATGGGGACGGATGGGGACGGTAGCCACAGAAGCTTCAAGCACAGGGTGACAGGCTGAGCATGTGTGGGAACTGCCAGGCACCACCATGCAACTGCATGCGGGACGGCGGGGCAGCAAGCAAACAACAGCCTCCCCATGGCTGTGCACTGGCACCTCTGGCCTCAGCCAACCCCCTGGAGGTGGACACAGCCTGCCCCACCCTCCCCGAGTCCACGGTTTCTGTTGCACTGGGGAGCAGTTACACCTACTTCAAATTCAGGCCCTTCCTTACTGCCACCTACCTCTGAGTCAGGGAAGGTCTAGAGCACCCCAAAGGCACGTCATCGCACCCCTCATTTGGCAGCTGGTCACCTTGACGGGGCACTGGGCCCTAGCTCCTTCGAGCCCAGCTTCCTCATCCACAGGTGGAGTCATTAGGACACCACGCCCGGGTGGCGAGGAGTCATTGAGAAAGGGAATTTAAAAGTGCACTGAGCACATGAAACACAATTCCACAAAGGTGACCGACTGACCCCAGACCAAGTGCATCGCAGCCTCTGGTCAGGGTCACAGCAAAGTGAGGGCCTCCCCTCAGACCCGTGCACACTGCCGAGGGCCACACACCATGTGGGGGGCGAGGCCCAGCAGTGTATGGAGCAAACTGCTCTCCCGCCCAGCCCTCATCCTCATGGGAATCGAGGAGGGAAGAAAGAAGAGACCTGTGCACACACCACATACACACACGAAGTCTGTCGGGGGCGACGTGTGCTGTGAAGAAAGGGAGGGCACAGAATGGTGGACTGAGCAGAGGCCTGAGTGACACGAGTTGGAGGCTGTGCAGAAGATGTCACCTGGTATCCCCACAGCATCAAATGGCATTTTCTCAAAACTCAAGCTTCTCTGCTCCAATTGTGGAATTCTTTATCACAAATGTTCACTTTCTCTAACAGGAATTTCAAATATGTGCTACTTTACATGAATCTCCAGTCACAGTCTCAGTTTAGTTCGCTCCCAACATCTTTGCTCTCCTCTCAAATATTCCTGAAGACCTGGAAGGAAGCCCGGTTCACACCTCCTGTGCTCCACACGTGAATCAATGATGCCTGGATGAAGGAGCCCTGCGCTGTGCTGTCTCCTGGGACAGACCCCCTCTTTCTACTCAGTCAGGCCTTACATGACCCCTTCTGAATCATGAAGACAAAATCTCTAATACCCCCAGCCCTGTGCCCAGGCAGGATCCCCATGGACGGGTCTGTCTGGGAAGGATGCTATAGAAGACTTCATCAGAGGCCACAGGGGAGAGCCAAACCTTGTGTATTGGCATGATGGGACAAAGCAGAAGGGAGATCACTGTGCAACAGAAACCATGGACTCCACAGGGGTCAGGTCCAAACTCACATCCTGCAAAAGCTCCCCAGTTCTGAGCCAGTCCCAACAGGAGGAACTGCCTGGGCACTTACCCACCTCCCACTTGGGAGCCCTACCTCCTCTCTTGGCCAAGGCCAGTTCCCACAACAAAACGGCTCCTGGCAGGGCCCTCAGAAGCCCTGCTGGGCCCCAGGAGCTGGGGATAGTGCACAAGAGGCCAGAGGGGGTGGGTACAGCCAGTCTCTGACCACACCCCTCAGGAGGGCAGTGGCAAGGGGTCACAAGAAACAGAGGAAAGAGGAGCACAGCAAGCAAAACTGGGAATTTTAAGAACTGTTTAAAGTCATGAAACCAACCGTTTCCTATATGTGATGTTGTCATGGATGGATGTTTGCGTATTATTTACAGATTGGGATGTTTGAGCAGCAGGTGCGTAACATACAGACGGAGACATGGTTTTCGCATTGTATGTTGTTGGATGGCGTGAGTCAGCAGGTAGGTTACGGTAAATCAAGAACAAAAACAGAAAACAAAAGAGAAAATGAGTCATCAACACAAGCAAAAAACTCGAACTCTGAATACTTCATTGGAAAATTTTAGGATTTTGGTAAACTTTGCATATTTTGTTTAAAATGCATCAAATCAAAACGTATCTTTGAAATCTGTAAGTTATGCAGACAGGGTGGCATTCATTTGCATTCCTGTTTGTAATGCAAATCCAAAGATGACTCACAGACACATTTTTTTATTTCCAGGCAAAGAAATCAATGTCAGTTTTTCGCCTGCTCAGAGTGCTCTCTCTACGTGACCCTGGTTAAGACTTGTTCTGTTTTGAGTTTTAAGTTGGGGTGGGAACTGACACTCATATTTTTGCCTAAGAAAAAAAAGTGCATTCACAAAGTAACATATGAAGTGACTACAAATGGAAAAGAAAAAAGACACCACTAATCCACATGATGGCTTCCTTCCATCTCTTCTCCAAGCACAACGGGGTGAAGTCTGAGCTCTGGGAGCACCAGTGGCCAGCGACAGCCGAGCGTTCACACCCAGCGGCGTCTCAGCCCTCCCACCAGCCCCGCTGGGGTTTGGGGGTTGATGCGGGCTGCCACAGAGGGCTTGTTTGAAGTGAGGTCTGAAACAACCACAAGCTACCCTGGCCTCAAGTGGCCAGCAGCTGAAGAAGAGACGCTGGGTCACTCTGGCCACCTGCACCCCAGGAGCTCTCCGCCTCAGACGGGGCCTCTGGGGGCAGGTTTCCCAAGAAGACAGCTGGGCTGCTCTCCGCATGTCTGACATCGGCCCTGCCCACCCTCCTCATGATGCCCTCTCCACAGTCACCCCTCTCTCGGGGGGAGGCACACACATGCAGGAACCCCCAGGGCTGAGGCCTTGCAGTTGGGAGCTCAATGTTTGGGTCCTTTTATCTGGGGGAATGAAGATTCCTGAGTCCAAGGAGAAGGCCCATAGGAATCAGAAACACAGCCAGCCTCCTCCTCTCAGGAACCACACGGGTACGAACTGTTTCTGAGGGAAAAGCACATGTGAAGGGGCGGCACTTGGGCAAAGCCACAAGGCCAACAGCTGGTGGAACAAAACAAGCTTGGT